TGTGGTAGACGTGTCATTGTAAAGGTTGTGCAAAGTTAGTTTAGAATAACTAATATAAAATAGGAGTAAAAACGGAAAATCGAAGAACACCCGCATACAAAAACCTTTGCCGCTGTGTACACGTCCATTAAAATTACTTGAAAGCAATGTTGCCGAAAATTTTGTAATACACAAAAAACGGCCTCTGAAAATCAAAGTAATAAAAACAATTTAAAAATCGAATGGCTTAAAGTATTGAAACCCTTCTCTAACGTCCAGAAAGCACGCGAAACTAAACCGGTTATGTCCAAAGCTAAAATTTAAGTTGTCAGAGTCTGTTTTGAGCAGGGCCTGAAAGCTCCGTCCTGGAATAAAACCGTATTTAGAAGAATATATTATGTTTTCTTTATCTACGAAAGAAGCCATGGTTCTATAAATACACTCTCCAATATTTGAACAAGTAATAATAAAATAAATATTGGTCGATAGTGTTCTACTTTATTTTGTTTTCCTCCCTTGAAACGTGGTTATACAGTGGCAGTCTTCATAGCAACGGGAAAAGACCCAGTTTCAATTATTTCGTAAAACATAAGTATGTCTTTTATGTACATTAAATTTCTGCGTAGACAGATAAGATGTATATCATCGTAACCTATAGCTTTATTAGGCTTGAGTCTTGATATAATCGACTCTAAGTCATTTTTAGACATTTGATGGAAAAATGCAGAACATGAGTTCTAGTCAGAAAAAGAAGGACGACGCAGCATTTTAGCGGGCTTTCCCAAAAATTTGTGGTTAAGAAGTTGTTCAAGATATAGGCCGTAGCTTGCACACTATGTCCAAAAACACCACTGAAATTCTTCGCTTTTAAAGTAGAGGATTTAGCCCCGTGCATTGCGTTCACTGTTGACCGGGTTATAACTGAGTTGAACCGAAATTCCGCGAACTGCCTCTAAAAGTAGAGCCGCTTCGGAGATCATTTAAACGCACTCACTCCGTTTCCCACTACTATGAAGTCATTCCTTGTTGGATGGTGTTATAAAGTAATTATGTAGGCTGGTGTACTAGGGTTCAAGTTAGTCTCCTGGACTCGCTAATATTGTGCCAAGTCAGGAGTTTCCCTGGCATTCTACCTGAAAACGTATATATAATTAAAATGATACTGATGAGACGAAGTTGTAAACTGCAATCACCAGGTTCAATGTGCTAAAAATATCACGTACCCCTAGCAAATAAACAAAATGGGTTGCAGGAATTGAGTTTAATCTGCGGCGAGGAAGTAGACGCTCTGGGTGTCTATCGAATGTAAAAAAAAACTAATTATGCTTTTCAATGTTGCCAAGAGAGACCTTTTTCAATACGAGAACGTAGATATAAAGATGGTTGACAAACATAAGTATCATGGATAGTGGATCGTTGCCATAATTTTCTGTAGGAATTCGAGATGGTGTGATTGGTTAAAATAAATTAAATTCGACCATTATAAAACAATGAGCTTAAAAAGTTCAATAGATTCAAAGTGGTGAGGGTCTAAGTACGCGAGTAAAAGTACCAGGGATCACTTTTAGTGATGCAGACTTGAGCACGAGTTTTGAGGTTTAAGCGAGTTTAGAGATAGGACAAAGCAGTGTTGGCAGGTTAGCTTTAGGAGTTCACGGAGAAACCCCAAACGAGGGGGTACATGGATATATGGCCTGGTTGTCATTTGATAGGAGAAAGGCAGTGGGGAGTAAATTAATATTCCACAAATAATGATGGAACGGAAATATAGGCGGTGACAGCAGGAAATCTATCAATATATTTGTACATGATGAGTTCGAAAAACGAAATAGACGAAACGGACACGAAAGATTAAAATTCCTGCAATCAAGTAATGAGAGTGAGTAAACACGTTCAGAGGACGGGAACTTAGGGAGGCTGAGAACGCAACATGGAAGGAAAATATTTCACGGGGCGTCAGCTTTCACAATTTATAGGTCCCGAAAGAAAGAAATAATCATGGGAGATCTGTCTTCTAAGTCAAAAGTGAGCACTTCATTTTTTGAGGCTAGAACCTGAGGAACAAAAATCTATAGGGTTAAGTTAGGAAAAACAAATACCTGTGAGTAATTACCAAAACGGAGTGGAATCAATTTCATATGCGAGTCTGGAATGCAAAGGAATCTATCCTGCATTTTCTGAAGGGCCGAAAAGCTTACTTGGTTCCCTGGGATTTTGCTGGAGAACACGAAAGTCTGGGTAACGATTGAGTAGATGATTGAGTAGATGCTGATGTTAGAAACGTTTCGAGGCATTTCCTTGCATAGGCCGGTGCCGTGCGCCGGCAAGAGCGCGTCGATGTCCAACTTTGAACCTCGCAAAGTGTGTTTATCTCATTATTTAGCAAAATATATGAACTTTTTTCTTAAAATACAAATTGTAGGAAGGTGGTGAACTGGGAAAGTTGACAGACGTTACATATGATCGGGGAAAACAACTCAGAAGAAAGCGGATTACGAAGATGAACAAACACGACAGGACAATGCTGTACTCGCCACTGAAGACTTTTAATAAAGGAAACACAAACAGAAAAAATATACACAGTATGTTAAAAGATTACACAGTATTTCACACTCGCCAACCGTTAAGAGTGTCAGCAATCTACATTTCTACCCGTTCATTACATTGTCCCGTCGTGTTTGCTCTTCGTAGTCAGCGTTTTACTTTGTAAGAGTGCTGTTGAAAACTGCTTAGGATAAAGTCAAACTGAAAAAAAAAATACTACTAACTAGTACAGTCTTAGGGGTCAAGAGAGAAAACCATCGGGAATTCCTCCCGTGTGGCTGCGGACCAAAGTTGCATCTCGGTCCTTCCGTGAGTCTGGTGTTGGTTTAACGCCGCCTATGGATTAACCAGTTCTGGTGGCTCCCTCGCTAAAAAAACAAGAACAAAAATACGTTTTTTTAATTATTTGTTCCCTTAAAGGTCATTCTTGTGATCACTTCTGCTCTTTCGTGATTGTTACAGAAATGCAGAGGGAAAGGAATTCGGCTTAGGACTTGTGAAGGAGGAATCGTATATTTGTGTTTTGATTGCTTATGCTAGAGGTAGCAAGCTAACACCTACTATAGAGGGTACAGCCGTTAATATTCTTTTGTTAACCAGATTGTAATGCAAAGTAAGTTCAGAAGGGCACAATACTGCCGCGCTTATTTGTTCCTTGTGTGAGTAACCATTATCAGGAAGAAATACAGGATGAACTGCAAGAGGAACTAGTGGTTAGAAGAAACGTGTTAAACTATAATAATGAAAAACATTCCGACAGATGGAGTGGCCGAAACAAATTCCAAAAACAAAACGCTTCTGAACGACTCTGAAGTTCAAGCGAACGTATTTTCAGCACTCATTGATGGGTAAGTGTTATAATCGCGCCAAAGAATATTTTAAAGTGCTATCATGTTTGAAAGAGCTGATTTATTGATTGAAACACGTAGCTCACGCGTCACTGTGCAGTAATAAATCTATAATGTTATTCTACTCGTAATGATGTTGGAAATGTCGGGTCCTCTGGTTGGGTAATATTAAGTTAGCTATATTGCCGGTGTATGAACGAGAACATATTTTTTTATAAAAAACGTTATACTATGTACCGGGAACATTATCAAATACAAATTCGCGCAACATCACTCATCTTGTTTTTGTTGATTTCCCCTACCAATATACACTTAATGATTGTTCTCATGGTTTTCGAGCACGTCAGGCACGTAGCCAGAAGGGGGGGGGGGGCATGGGGACCGCCCACCCCCTCCCTGAAATCTTTTATTTTGCTGGGACCTCCTCTCCCCCCCCCCCCCACCATACAGCATTTTGTCATGGGCGCCCCCCCCCCCCCCCCCTTCCCGAAACCAAATACTGGCTACGTGCCTGCAGCACGTCGTAGGTAACAATGCGTGCAGGCGAAACCAATGTTACTGATTTTGGGCTCAATATTGGAAAGGCAGCGTATTGAGTCGTAGCAATATTTTAGTAATCGAAACGGTACCGAGGTCAGGAGTCAGTCGACGTGCGCCGATTGCACAGAACTCATATTTATGCCGCGGATATCGGGTGGCCACAGTTTATCTTACCATTGCCAAACGAGCCTGAAAAAAAGCAGCGTCTGCGCCTATCTATTTTTATCTTTCACCGAATGTGCGCGTCACTGCGTAATCTTCAAGGCGTAGCAATCCCTTCATCTAAAAGTTGAGAGCAACGGAATAAATAGGGTCGACCATGGACACTGCTGGAGACGACCAAGTCATTGATGTCGACGCACTCGCGCCCCGGCTCGAGTGCGTCGACGTCCAAATTCAACCTAGCAAAGTGTGTTTATTTCATTATATAAAGAAGATCGCAACTTTTTTTTAAATATAAATTGTAGAATGGCGATGAACTGGGAGAGCAGGCAGTCATTATATATGATGGTGAAAACAGCACAAAAAAAAACGCGGATTACGAAGATGAAGGAACACGACAGTACAGTGCTGTACTCGCAACTGAAGATTTTTAATAGAGAGAACACCGACAGAAGTACCATACAGAGCATGTTAAAATATTACATAATATTGCATACTCGCGAACCTTAAAGCATGTCAGTAATCTTCATTTCTACCCGTTCACTGCATCGTCCTGTCGTGTTTGCTTTTCTTCGTATCCAGCGTTTTTTTTTTTTCCACCATCATGCACACATTGCAATATTTTTCTACCTGAACGCACATTCGATGAGAGATTAATCTTTCTATGTACGGGCGCCAATTTTTGCAGCTCGTTTTAAGCTCTACTGTTCACTGGGCTGCTCAATATAGCGCAAGTTAAAAAAAAAAAAAAACACTCGAAGACGGCTAGATGCATTCGGAGGCACTCGCGAGAAATGTCCTTTTGTTCCGAATCTTCCCACAGATTTATCTATGTTACTTGGCTGCTGAATAATTCATCAGACTCTATGCATAAATATTAAAGTGTGCATTCTTTTATATCTCAGATTCGAAACCTTACCCACCGCAATGGCATCCACAGCCTACCTGTTGGCAAAGCATCAGGACGTGCAGGAACGACTGAGGAAGAAAATTAAAAGAGCTCTGATTAACGACGTAAGCCGCGAAGACTTGTTAATACCTATAAGGGAGCACAATCTTTTGGGCCATAATTTCCTTTTTGTCTTGTAAGTTAGGGATTCAATAAGCCACAAAAATGCAAGGTATTGCAAAACGACTTCCTCTTACAGAAGTTTAGGTATCTTGTCCATAAATCACCAAACAAGTACCAAAGTTAGGCTCCACTGATGGTAGTTTTGCTTTCATCTGCCATTTTTGGGTCTAAATCGCCAAGCAAGTATTAAAGTTTAAATTCACTTCTGTATGCTCGGTTTGCATGTGGAAACTTTGTTTCGCACGTGGAACTTGTGACCCATACGTGGACAATGGGACATTTTTTGGAATTTTCGGCCGCCACAACCTTGGCGAGGGAGGATAGATGGAGCTTTTGAAACTCCTAGAATAGTGGTTTGTCCGCAGGGATACATTCGTGCGTAACAAAAACAGCGGCCCTCTCCACGAAGCTTATACAAACATTCCTGATAAATAGCGTTGACTAGAAGTTTAACTTTGCATTAGCTTTGTTACTACCGTAGATGCCTCCCGCATGAGAGACGAAACGTCTAATGAAATTGTTTTTGTTTCTGTTGTGTTAGGTCGGCGCTCTTATTTTAATTATGGCGTCTCCAGGCTTTTGGATTATCTTTGCATTTTGACTAAAGTCTGGCACTTTAGCGAATATGTTGCGGCTCAGAAAATAAACAAAAGAGAGGCAACATAGTCAGTTTGGCTCCTTAGTGAAAATGTTAGGCACCCTAGGATTTCCCAGCTTGTGCCAAGATAAGCAGATAGGTGTGGTAACTAAGTAGGCAAATCAATTATCATACTGATTGAAAATTGAAAGTTTTTTCTTCACCGCTTGTTGCAGGACGCAAGTGCGAAAGATATTCTCAAGGTGGAATACTTGGACCAAGTGATCAGCGAAGCACTCAGAATTTACCCTCCACTGTCAGGGTAACATATTCTTACAGCCCCAATATATTTTCTTCTGGTTCTCTCATATCTAGAGCCCGTTGAGTTCTTAAAATCAATAAAAATAAGAGCTCTATTGTACTATCGCAAAAAAAAAGTATTATGAAATTCCTCCGTTTGTAAAGAAGTGCGTCTTGATTTATGAGTGTTTTTACAGAAAGGCAATATATGAATGACATTCAACTCCTGACGGGCGTAAATATCGCTTAGTGAACCTTGGTAAATCGAATTATTCAGTTCCCTTCGTCACACGCGATATCTGGATCCGTTAATCCGAAAGCCCGGCTAATAACAGTAAATCTAGTCGTGCGGTTGAAACTGCAAAATGTGTGTTTATATTATTATAGAACTTTCTTTTAGATTTCGGAGAGGACAACACAGTGTAACCGTATATATTGCCATAATACGCAATTTTGATAACCGTTATTTGTTCTCGTTGCTGCCCTTTAGCCCGAAGTAGAATCTTTAAACAGAGATTTGGAAATCGCTGTTCACTTGTGCAAGCTAGATTTAATGACATATTTGTTTCTGAATGTTGAAAGTCATAACGCCGGTAAAACAATCCTAGTAATGTGTGCATAAATTTCTATCAAAATACTTTCCAGAACATAAATTTGGGATTTCTCAGATTGGAATAGATGTAGAAAATATCAGCTCAATTAAATTACTAAATTGAATGGAACGTACGACACACGAGAAAACGCGCTTTAAAATAATTACTTAGTTATTACTTTACTAGTGCCTTATCATGAATGGCACGAGTGAAGGACGTGTGTAGCAGCTGCTCTGCGACATTTCACCACGAACAGCAACAGATTCTTTGCTGTGTGTGTTCGACTCGCTTTTGCTGCATGGAGATCAATATCGTCACTGATGACTACAACCTACTCATGCAAGAAGGGGTAAGCCAGTTCAAGCGTAGAAAATGCATCAAGCAAAGAAATGACGATGGCGAATTCGCTACGCCTTGAACTTCAACCATGGATTTTAGTATAGATGCGCAAACGAACACCGACAACATTCCATGTGCTAAAGGTTCATCGATATTCAAGAAAAATATTCAAACGGTGCTCGAAGCATATGTCGACAACTTCGCACATCTGAAAACGGAGAACGTCTCGCTACGCGAGGAGCCTAGGATCAAGGATACCTTTTCTTTGTTCATAAGCCAATAGACCCATCTCGCCAGCTAGTTTGAGTACGCCACCGCTGCCGACATGCATTGTGGGAGCTGTAGTATTTCTGCACGCGCGACAACCCTGCTGTAGGTCTGCGCAAGCAGAGCACGAGGCGGCATGAGCTATCTCGCGAACTGGCGTCTGCCTCCTACGAACTACAGTTATGGCGGCGTCACGCATGCGTGGAACGCTTGGTGAGATCGGTCTATTGGCTCTACGAAAACTTCAGACAGAGTTAGCGGTTTTCATCCGTCGTATGCCACTGCAGCTACAAATTGTCCCGCCTTGTATACAAGACAGCCGAGCCTACCGGGTACTCAAAAAGCGCTGCCAGTTGAGACTTCAACAAAAATCATCGGTCCAACTGAACCCCTTCCGCCTGCATCGTCTCCAGCTCTACGACACTCTGTTCCGCCAAGCACCGTGGTTGGTGACGGCTTCAACATTGTCAGCCGCCGCAAGCACAGAAAACCATCTGTCGGAACTTCGAAAGCATAATAGGAACCCGATTCAACATGCACCGAAAGAAGTGGCCTTTTTGAGTCAAGACTGTCTCCGTACACGAATACGGAAGACGTTGAGGACTTTGTCGCCGTTAATTGTTTTGCAAGGTAGAATCTCTGTTTGCAAGAAATTGAAAACCAAACTTCCTTATTATGCGTCTTTCCACATTCTCGTTGACAAAGAATAATATGAAACAAAAAACAGCGAATGTCTATGACCAGAAGCCTGCGCCTTCAGGCACTTTTTTGGACTTCCTCCGGTGTTACCCCACTTCGATAGTGTAGAAAGAAATGTCGGGGCTGCTGCTGTTGAAACCAGATGCATAACTTTTTTTTTATTTCAGGATTTTATTAGTTTCGCGGCCAAATACCATAAATCATATTGCCTGTTGAAGTAAAGAGATATGCAGGAATAAAAAACGTGAGCATGGTCTTACCTTTAAATATGCGCTCTTCGAAAAGTAAAACTGCTTTTTTTTATTGCTCTTCAAAATCAACTCTGTGTTTCGTGTCAAATAATAATCCTTTCTGAAACATGGTACCAAACAAATCACGATGTTCTTGTAGTACCGGGTTCTAATAATTCATTTTTGAATAGAAACGTAAAATTAGGGGGAGATGTATGCATTTATGTAAAACAATATAATAGGTGCGAAATACTCGATGCCTTTAACAAAATTGCAGATTACTGAGAAATCGTTAGTGTGAATCACGGACGTCAGTTGTTCTCTCTTCGGTATCGACCGCCAGCTGGGAAATTTAATAATGTTTAGTTTTCCCTGGAGAGGTACCTTGATTAATGACTTTAAATAACAGCTCACTTGTTCTGGGTGGCGACGTAATTGTATATAATCTAGAAAAGTCTTCCCGTTCGTCATGACTGAGGAGTACACGCAGAAGTTGTGGTTTTTTAATTTGATCCCGTCTACCACTTGAATTACTCCTTCTACGTCGAGTGTCATTGGCGTTTTTATTACCAATAAAAACACTATAGTTCGCGGTGCAGGCGTTATTAGTAGTGACATGAGCGATCATTTACCAATTTGTTATGTTGTCAAACTCATGATTTCTCAAGGAGCGTTGATTAACTATACAGTTTCCAAATCATAATTGACCGCCAACTGCGGCCCTTCCGAAACACAGTCATGGAAACAAGACTGGAGTTCTGAATTTTTAAAGCATTGCGTCAAACGAAGCATATGATAGGTTTATAAATATTTTAAAACAATTTAGATGGCATCGTTTTCTTATAAGACGGTTACTTCTAAAAAGCGAATAAAAAAACTATGGGGCACCCCAACTATTTTCATCATGCTAAAAAAAAAGAATGGCTTATATCAGACTTACCTATTTGAGCATAATGACGGTGATCTTGCAGTTTTTAAGAAATATAGCAGTCAACTCACGCCTGCACTAAAAAAAAGAAACAGGGTACCGCAAACGTCTTTTTTGTGACGTTCACAATAAGCATCCTGCGTTTGTTTGGCGGTCGATAAACAAATTGCTTAAACGCAGCAAACAGAAAAAGTTTAAGAGATGAACTATCACTTCCTGGTGAAACTGTGTCCGGAATACAACTAGCTGAGCTCCTTAACTGCCATTTCAATAACCTGCCTTTTAGCGGGCACAGTGAGAATGCATCCTCGTTCACCTCGCACCGCGCAACAGGCAATTTTCTGACAGCTGAGAGGCGAATTGCAAGTGCCCAGTGTATTTTTGCGATAGAATAACAACAATAGCCGTCACATAGACGATATACAAAAATGCATGTTAAATTTGTAATCGATGTTGTGGCCCCACTTTTGGTATTCATATGGAGTTTTAGCACACGCTAGCGCTACATTTGGTGCTTGCGTTAGCACACGCTACATAAAAGAATTTTAGAATAGTGTTTCTTGGCCGCGACGCAAAAGCCGAAGCATCTCGCACTTGCAACGCCACCAAGATACTGTCACAATTTTAATTTTAAACACTAAAAGCTGCAACTTGAGAAAATACAAGTTTTCCCGTTCAGAGTAACATTTTAGGATTGTTTAAACAGGAGAATGCGACGCGAGCGGTCGTTTGGTTGTGTCCACTTGCGTTGCCTCGGCAAGACGTGTCCCCTGCACTGATCCTTGCACACCCTAACTTCGCCGAGATCTGTCAGCGCGTCGCACGCATCAAGTTACCGGTGTTGGTTGCCCACCTTACTGAAGTTTCCCAACATAGTGCACTGTCGTTCCGTATCGAAAATCGCAGTCGCGGGGATGCCGCCGACGTCGCGCTCACGAAGCCTGCTGAAGCGGTCGCACCAATGGTCCTAGAAGCCGCCATATTTTAACTGTGCTCGTCTTGGCGTTAGCCAACTTCTTATCGCGAATCCTTCTTGGAGGAATGCAAAGACTCTTTGCGTACGCACGAAATTTCCCAAAAAATAGTGTACGCTACAATAGCGCACGCAAAGCGCAAAACATGGTTAGCGTTCGGTGCATGCGCAGTGGCGACGACGCTGTTTTTGCGTAAACGAAGCTTTAGTGTACGCTATTTTAAATCTCTCTAATATTTAACTCAGTTAAGGTGGCGATGCAGGCGAGTTGGTTCATGGCTTAAGAAATTGGGAACAACGCGCAAAAAAGACGAGAACAACGAGAGTAGAGCACAGGACAGCGCTTGTCCTGTGCTCTACTCTCGTTGTCCTCGTCTCTTTTGTGCGCTGTTCCCAATTTCTTAAATCAAACTCAGCTTTGTCGAGTGGCCAATTTTCAGATAGCATGGAACTCGCGAATGTTTCAGTGCCGCATAAGGGTGGAGACAAAACTTCAGTCACAAATTATACACCCATCTGCGTTTTACCGATGTTTTCAAAAGGGCTGAAAAATTATATCACATTATTTAGACTAATTTTTTTACCCAGAATTCAGTGCAAACTAACTCCCAGTTCGGAATTAGTACAAGAAAGTCCACGCAATACGCTTTCGTATTGCAGAATTAAATAATTATGTAAAAGACGGAACGTAAACAGTTGGTAGTGAAAGGTTTGACTGTCTTAACCATTCAACGTTCCTTGATAAACCTTCGTATTATGGTATTCGTGGCATGCCTTTGATACTTATGTATTCATAATTAGAAGGTCCTGGGCAATGCGTATTTCTGAATGATCGTGTTTGTTTTCTTTGCAACTCTTAAAGTTGAGTGTTCACCAGGCCAGCATACTCGGTCCTCTGTTGTACAATGTGCATATAAACGATATATTTAATATTTGCGACCAATCCCGCATTTTTATGTATGAAGACGACACGACCGTATTTCTGTGCACGTCGGATATGGACGAACTCATAACCAAGGAAAACTAAGTTTTAGAAACGTTTCTTTCGTGGTCAACAATTGATGCTCTGAAGATAAACACTTTAAAATCTAAATCAGTTGTTTTAGACCTGTAAATAAGCACGTTACTAGTAATTATCATCTAAGATTGGCACCAACTAGTTTGAAACAGTCAAACAACACAAAACGGTAGGTGTCATTTTTTTCAGAACATATGCAATGAGATCACCATTAAAGGGCAACTCCGCTTCATTTTTGATATTTAGAAAACTATGCAGCCCTCTTCAGTATTATATAGGAAGACACCATCTCAAATATTACGATCTAATTCCGTCTATATATTTAATAAACTGGCCAACAAACTTTCAAATGAGCCAAGTCGCCGAAATTTGCCAACTCTAGCGTGCGACGTGAGGCGCAATCGTCAACGCAGTCAATGCGACGGAGTTGGAGCGGCGAACGTTGAGCCACTACGTCAGAGGCATGACTACTTCATTCTCACGTTTTGTTTGTTTTTACTTCTCAGAGCGAGATTGAGCGATGACGTCATGAGTTTCTCCTCCCGGTGTTGGCTGAACGGTGTCCACGTGATCACCGTAACGCGGATGCGTTAGTTTGCGCTGCCCTGCGCGCTTATCGGTCTGTTCTCCGCTCTCCCTCCCCTCTTTCGCGTTCTCCCCCTCCCCCTCCCCCCGGGACATCACCGTCCACGCCTTGCGAAGCGACCTGCCCTGCCTGCCCGCGTCGCGTGTCCTGTACCTCGCCCCCACGAACATCCGAAGACCACGTGGTTCGACGTGACGCGGCCATGACACTGACGACACAAAACCAACGTTGCCTGACGCAACCGAAGTTTCGGTTTCGGTATCAGCTGATGTTTAAATTAAGATTAGACAAATAATATTCCACATCTCGCGAACCAAAAGACGTACAGTTGTTTAGTAGGGCTTTGTAGAATGGAATCACATGTAAGCCTACATTTTTCGGAATTGAGCGGAGTTGCCTTTTAAGAATACCTAGTTAAGAAACTGTCAAAAGTAGTTGGCAAAACTTGAGGAAACAATCCGCTTTTGTTTCCTCTAAATATTAAAATGCAAAGTTTTCACGCTCTGTTTAGCTCAGAAATTGACTATTGTCATTTGGTTTGGGGCGCAACGACTAAATATAATGTTACCAAACTTACGATACACCAGAATAAAATGCTGCGTTTGGCTGCAAACGTGCCTTACAACACTGATTACTTTCGAAATTCAACGTCATGAGCATTGCTGGCGTATACGAATACCGTTTGCTATGTACTTATTTATTCTCAACTGACGAGTTAATTTCGGCAAAACGTGAATCTTTTATCATATTCGATTCAGAGAGTTCTTGAGTGTGCATTATCTTCGTACCAATTACGAACTGGAATCAATCGCTAACAACCTGCCTAGATTAGTTAGCAAGTTCATTATAGTATTGCATTATATTCACTGTTTAAAAAAATATGTACCCGCGTTTCTGTGTTCATACAAATTATATTGTGTAGTGTTTTTATTACCGTGCCCTGAAAGTGCTGGGGCACCAGACTCACTCAAGTTACCTTGTGGAAGTTTTTTCTGTAGTGTCCTCAGCACACAAGTATTGACATGAACAAGCTAAATGCCATTAGACTTCCCGTTTAGAAAAGAAATATAAACAAAAACGTAATGAAAGAGCAAAGAAACATTTGGAATAATTCTATTTTACGCCAAAAGCTTCATCTCCAGAACGTGCAAGGAAGATTACGACTATAATGGTCTCACAATTCCTGCCGGCATCTCAGTCATAATTCCCGCAAGCTCCCTGCATCGCGACCCTGAGTTGTGGAGTGAACCTAAAAAATTTGATCCTGAAAGGTAAGGAAAACTAACTTTGTTTCACAATTATTCATTTTAACGCCCTCTGGTTGTGAACCATGGGTGGCATACAAATATATTTAAACCGGGTTAAATCTACATGAAATTTAAAATCTTAAGTTATTTACAGTGAAACCTGGTGTTTTAAAGAGAATCTGTAAAAAAAAAACTGTTCTTGTGCAGCAGGTCTCACAATGAATTCTTCCGTTCTGGGGTAAATTACAAGTCGTAGAAAAATTTTGTACAGCATTGGTTATTAGTTTTCGATGTATATTTCTTCGTGCAACAAAGATATATATTATTATACGCTAACTTTTACTGCACTAGAACTGCTAAACCCGCACGTTTCCATATATTTTTGGAAAGTCGACATTTGCTCGAAAATGTATGGTATTTTAATTTTTAGTAATGTTTGTAACATGACTTAGTAGTTAATATTAGGCTTGTATTGCGCCGTTGCCAGGAAGAGAAATATAAACAAAATAGCAAATAATTATTAAAGCAAAGTCTAATAATACAGAGTAAGCATATAGAATGTATCTTAAAAGTTAACATTTGACAGAGATCTGTCTCGTTGAGAATAAGAAACTATTAAAAAGTTCAAACACAAATCAAGCCCTTGTATAAGGAACCCACGTTTCGAAGCCAATTCGGTCTCTTCAGGGGCGACTACGGCTATGGCTGTTAAGAAGCTGCGCCACTTTATTTTTCTTCTACTACGGTAGGTATCTGGTATTTTTCTACGGCTGTACTTTTTCAATAAGGTGGCGAAGCCCGTTCACCTATGCGGATGTCAAATCTCCGAGAGACCGATTGATGTTTTATGGCGTTGCTCGAATATGACGTAGTTTCAATATACCATAAAAGAAAACAAAAGGAACACCGCTCCTCGGCGGCCATAGCCGTAGTCGCCCCTGGAGAATCGCGTACGGCTTCGAAACTTAGTGTTCATATAGAAGAGCTTTGTTGGTGTCTCAACTCTTTAATAATTAAAGTATTTTGTTGATTAAAATTATCTTAAAAAGCTCTTACGCATAATAAACATGTAAGTTTTGGCGTTACGCATGATATATCAGTATGTACAACCACCTAACCCACCAGATGATCTTAAAGCAGTTCCTTTCGTCTACAATGGGCCCTTTTAAGTGTGTATATCCTCTAGGCTATGCTTCTTTTTATCTTAACGTGATTGGAAGTTCGTAAAAAATTAATTGATTTGATTTGATTTAATTTGAGCATACAATGCGATGTTCTACTCAGTCGCCATCGGATATGGTTAGCACTTTATCCTCTCTCCCTCGTTTTTCCTTCCTCGATGTTTTGCGATTTAATCTATCAATAGGCTCGCAACATCGAGTTGTCTTTCTTGTTAAGGCTGGCCCTGCGATCGCTTCTTTCAATATTGAGCCTAGGAAAACAAATGCGTAGTGACCTCTGTGTGTATAAAATAATAAATAACCGTGGGCAGTTTAAAGGCAGTTCAGGAAAAAGGAGAGACAAGATCAGCCAGATTTTGAAATTTTTAAATCGCAATGCTCGACATGTCAAATCGCAAGGACTTGACATCTCGGTAACCTTTACAAAACGGGCAGGCCATCTGTGAATGGAGAGACATTTGTCACCATGCTAGCCACATTTTACACAATCCTAATAAGTAAAATCGTCGTGTGCCGTATGAAGTAAGTATAAATTTGCCCATAATTATACTTCAACTGATGTTGAACTGTAACTGCCGATTTACTTTTGTAATATCGCAAAGCACACTGAGCTTTGTTTCTTATACGCGTCGCGTTAAAACAGATGATAACAACGCCATCTGCAACAACAACAAACAAGGATGAGTCGGCCTACGTAATGCGACAACTTCCATGTGCTTATCACTCATATTCCTTAGGAAAACATTTTTCTTACTCAGGAAAGACGTCCCATGCCCATCTATTATACCCATATATGCACCACTCCCGAAGAAAACGCTTTGGCTTTGGACATTATTAGATTTCTGTCTGATGCTTTTGAAACTAATCACAGTGTTTGACATATACCAAAGGGCACACTTGATATTCCGTAGAACAAAATTAGAATGTCTGGAATTAAGTAATTGTTTAACTAAGAGGTAAAACTGTCGCTTATGTAGAGAAATGTCAATTGATACTATGATCAATATATTATACAATGCTAGAGTGCAGTTAATACTATGCCCAATACGCAGATTAAAATACTCGCAGTGATTTACATACATAACAGTTCCAAATTTGTTTGTTTAATTTTATGCTCACGTTATTTAGATATACAGGGTGATTCTTTTTCAGCTGAACAGGTTTGTCTTATAAGGCATTGAAAACTACAATAATATGGTTTGTGCAGGTGAGTTATACGGCCTGGGGACATAGAATAGGGGGTTGATCTTAAGAATAACTTGGTTAATTAACTACAACCGGTGAATTAACGGTATAGTTGTTAAAAATAAACATATGCTTTTGATTAGAAACTTGATGAGCACCATAAAAAACGCGATATTATCAATACTAAAAGGACTTAGAGCAAGTGGGAAGCACGGTAGCGTGCTAAAGTTACCACCCGTGCAGCAGCAGCAAGGCTACCGGCGCGATAATGCGCCCGCGCGGTTTTCTGTCAATTGTCATAGACCCATCCTTACGCCTGCACGGGTGGTAAGTTTAGGGCGCTACTACGCTTCCATCGCACGAAAAACCTTTATAAATATTTTTAGGGTGGCTTTCGATGAAGCTCAGCAAGTTTCTAATTGAACCGTACGTATATTTTCATTGATTTAAAAGTTCATCGACAAATTTTATATAAATATTTTACTTATCTTGACCATTAGCCCCTATATTATGTCCTCCTCGCCGTATAACTCATCTACAGAAACCGCGTCAGTGTAGCTTTCACGGCTCTTTCTTAAAGAAATGTGATAAGCTTCAAGTACCTCTCTGTATAGCTGTGAACACTTTATCTAGTCATTTCGAGATGTTCTTAATTCACATTCTTTTTCATATTGATCAGATTTAGCAGTGATAACAAAGGTTCGTTGAATCCCATCACTTACCAAGCATTCGGAAACGGGCCAAGATCCTGCATGGGTATGCGCTTTGGTCAAACGGCACTCAAACTTGCACTCGGCAAGATTTTGGCCAAATACAAGCTGCATCTGGATGACCGACATCTCAAGGTAAACACGAATATCAGGATCTTGTTCACTTTTGTTGTAACCACAACCGCCGGCACCAGTATTATAGAGATATTGTCTTTCCACCGCTCGGGTTGGTAACCAAATAGTGCACACAAACGAAGAAACAAATACGAGAGAAGGTTGTAGACATCACAAGCGCTGACTGACAAATGAATGTTTATTGGAAAGCAACACCTAGAAACCGCAACCACCGCAAAACCAAAACAAAGCAGAAAAGCAATTAACAAAGAGAAACACCGACCACGTGAATGCTGACTCAACACGTATTAATATATTATCTATTTTTTTTGTGTTTTGTCCTTGTGAATCAGAATTGATATGGCCGGCGGTTCCTTTTGCCCGGTGCTTTTTTGTGTTTATTTATGGTGGTTGTATTTGCGGGGCTTTTATTTTAAAAACAGTTTCAGCTGTCAATCAGCGTTTATGCCTTTCGATTTTTTTTTGTATATTTTGTGCACCTTTTGGCGGTAAACAGTACCGTTCAGGAAAATGCGTCTCTGCTGTGAAGGCGCTTTTTGGACATCGGATGCTGAAACAAGTGGCATAAATTGCATTTCCTTTGTGTTTATGAAACGTTTAACCTGTTCTAAAGTTATTAAAAATCAGAAATTTAAACTTTCGTCTGACTTTAGTTGGTGAAAACATTCGTTGTTTGGGAGATGTGTTTAAAATAGCATCGACGTAAACCGCGAATGTAAAGTATTTGCTTCGTTTTGTTCCAAACAGGAAGACGAATTGCCGCTGTCAAACTCTCTCATATTTTCGGCTCCTCGTGACGGTGTCTGGCTCAAACTGGAGAAGGTTGAAAGCTAGCATTGCAGACAAAAAATAGTGCGCTTGGAGAAGGCTGAGTGACACCTGCCATGAATAGCGAAATGGGCAACCAACATAGCGTCCCCGCAAGTTTATATCTCTATAAAGAATAAATGCTGAAACCTTATTGCGTGTTGGGATTTCTAACTTTTTAAAGATCAGAAGGTCATTTTCACCAAGGTTACATTTATGGTGAGGAAATGTCCAGTAGTAAGCTGGAACTGCAAATACTCTTCACAGAGGTTAGAAACTTACGAAAAAAAAAGAGGGACATTGAAGACGAACAGACAGGACAGGCTCATTGAATATATTAGAAACTCTACAAGCCAGGACACGTTCGTCTGATCGGCACGTGTAGAAAAGCAAAAAGGAGCAAAGACTGAGTTTGTTCACGACAAACTATGTACTAAGGCTACCGCATATACTAAGAATCAGGATAAAAACCAAAGTCTGTCTTGTCTGTTTGTCTTCAATGTCCCTCTTTCTTTATCGTTAATTAGAAACCAACACGCTCAACCATCTACAGGTCAGAAACGTTTACCTAAATTATAAGTCAATGGATGATCAGGTGTAATATATATCAGAAAAAGAAGAGCACTATGAAAAGGGACTTGGTCCTACTAAAACATTGAAGGTGGACGTGCATGCTGCGCCGCCACCAGAACACTGTCCTAGCAAGCAGTAATGTATGTTGAATTACAGCAGGGTAGCTTTGAGTCACAGTCACGAAAGTCATACTCATCATTTTAATAAAACATCAGCAATTATAAGAAAAGTGCAAGACAAACAGCGGCTAGTGTGTTTCTCACCACAGCAAATCAACATCGCATCGCCAAACTCTCACTGTACCCGAATGCAGAGGACCCGTGAAGTAAAAGCAACCCCGTTTTTTGACCAGCAAAAATAGAGTGCGCATCGCAGAAAAATGGAACTTCGTGGGATGACCGCGTAGAGCGGTGCAGTTAAACTACAAAAGTTTAAATGCATGACCTGGCCTGGACAGTAAAATATGAAACAAATACAAGAATTGTTTTGCAGGACATTGTCCGCCTGGACCTAGTATTTTTCGTACACCAAAAAATGACATCGTGGGAGTTGGTTTTATGTTTCTGTTAAAACACACTTGTCAACAGGGAAGACAATATTGTTTTCTTTTTTCTAACAACTTGTTTTCACTGAAGACAATTGAAGACGTAAAATAATAAACGTCATTATATACATTGAGTATATTAGAAACTCTACAAACGAGGAATGTTTGTGGGAGTCGGCACGCGTCGAAAAGCAAAAAGGAGCAAATGCTAAACTTGTTCCCGACAAACTATATATTAAGGATACCGCGTATACTTTGAATCAAGATAAGAACCAAAGACTAAGAATAAATGCACTTACCCCGACCAACTTTAGGCCTGCGGCGGGGCAGAACTGACATCAGAAAAGCATCCAATTAACTATAGTCACATTAAATGCACGGAGTGTTATGAACAAGACTTACCACCTCGAAGGTGTACAATTACGGCGTGATACTGATGGATACCTATGTGGTCGTAATTACAGGAACATATTTGCGACAGAAAATATCGGATTTCGAAGATTTCCCTCTCGAGTATAATGTACTACCGCGTGATAGAAATACTAGATGTGGAGGGGGGATATTTTATTTATAAAATGCACTCTAAAATATCAAGCAATAACAAACATTTCATATCACAAAACTATAAGGTGCTAAATATTTGTTGAGAGCTGCAATAATCTGGTCGGTGGAGTATGCAGACCGCCGTCCGCAGCTATTGCTTTTCATGAAAAAATGGATGACTTTATCACATTGCACGTAAATGAGCTTACGAAACTAATTGTTCTCAGAGATTTTCACTTGCCGCATATTAACCGGATAGGTAAAGTTATCGAAAAACAGGGCGGAAAACAAGATGAATACATGCTGAAGATAACGCCAAAGCACGCACTCGAACCCATCGTCCGGGAATCTAAAAGAAGACTCGTAAATTTATTTTAGACCTTTGCTTGCTTTTTTTGCGTTTTTCTGATTACGAGGTATCTGCTGTAGATGGAATGCCAGACTATAAGCCGGCGTGGGCTACGGTAGCATTTAATAGCGGGCTATCAAAAAAAAAATGCAGCGCGTGTCTACGACTTTGCCAGAGGCGATGACACATCAATTTTAGACTATCCTGGACTGTCCTTGGGTGTCGTACGTCATAACGATGATGTGAGAAGCGTGTGAGAACATTAAAAAAAAACGGTGAATGACCGTTTAAGATTGTACATACCGCAGAGTGTTTAAAGATTAATACGACAAACACTTGGGTTCGAACTTAACAACTGTCGTTTTCGATGTTGCTGTCCCCAAGACGAGCCTATGATGACGAGGGTAGGGCTTTTGGAAAGCCAGTCTTGAAAAATACAAGTGCTTGTTCATGAAGGTTGGATTCGCTGATGAGTTTGAAGGTGAGGGACAAGGGGAAAAGAAATGAAGGTTTTATTTTGTGTATCTTATAAGTGACCTATGTTCGGGATACAAGTGTGTATCCGATGTCTCGTAACTTGTTCTTTTGTTGTAACTGTAGGTCTCTTGGTTGAAGTTCAGTGATAGCTGTAGTCGACATTAGATGTTTGGGTGTATGAGAGTTCGTGTAAGCAAAAAAAGTAGCTTTGATTTTTGTTCCGCAGTCTCGGGCACTGAAAAAAGAATCGACGTCCATTAGCTTTCCTGCACCCGACTGTTAGCAAGCGAAGATCACACAAAATAAACCCTACGATAAGTAACCAAAAAGATAAACCAAAACAAACGAGATCCTGATCTTCGTAAGCATACGTATACTTTTTTTTTACTTTTAGAATTTTTTTATTAGAAATAATATAAATATTACCCCACAGGACGAAGAAAAAGAACGACGTTTTGTCTTGGTTTTTTTTTTTGTGTTTCAGTAAAAATGTAATGAGTTCCCGTTCAAATGTTGCAAAATGGAATCCCGGCGTTCCTTCGTTCCTCTTAAAGGAACGCTTTCCAGGAACGCCGTTCCGTACAACACTGCCTGTGGCCATACAGAACGTATACGTGGCTGTCTAGCCTGAAATAGGCCGTCACTTATTTATTTGAGGGGCCGCCGCCAAACAGTACGTGAACTTTCGCTCTTTCCTTGACAGAGTATAGTCGTAGCACCTAACGCGTATTACACGAACTCGAAAAGCCACGACAAAAATACTGACGCGACAGATGACGCTAGATTTTTACTTTTCAACTTGACATATGGTAAGGCGAACAAGTCAGCGTAACTGTGCGCGGTGTTCAGGTGCTGTTGCAAGTCGCTTTTAAAGTAACTCCGTGTTCGCGCCTGAGCTGTATACGATTTAAAGGTGGTTTCATCGGAGGATTTTTTCTTGCTTCAAACGTATTGCAAAATCGAGTACTACAATTTCGGAAACAAAGAGTTGCTAATGCACGACGAAATCATAAAATCAATGAACGGCGGAGTGTTGCAATACGACTCGAGTACCAGTATCACTATACCTAATTTAACTTTAAGTCCGCCCGTAGCTGACGCTACAGTCCCACGCAGCCAATTAAGCTTCGCGAAATGTGCATCGTTACGGCGCTCGCTGTCTTCGTGGGTTTGCTACCACCAATGACGCACAGAAAAGAATGGAACCTTTTTTGCCCACAAAGTGCGAAGATTATTATGATTGGGGTTTTATGGCGCATAAGCAACTTTGGCCATATTGCGCCAGACAACACTACTTAAGACGGCTTTACTAGGAAGGAGATATTGGAGAGTTTTCATGGTAAAGTTACAGCTGATGTATATATCCGGCCTTTTTAAGAACGTCAAAAACATAGTGAAGTGATAGAAAAGGATGATCACCAAGCAGAAACAAAGGATGAAATGGAAGGATACCTCTAAAAAGCTCAGGAAAGCTTTGTCGGCGATGTTGGTGATAAAATCTACAATGCCATAAAATGCATAAAACTGTCAGTACTTCTCCACAATGGGCAAAGAGCTTTTCGCGTTCGCCACAAAGAAGATGTAGATGAGTCAGACGTGAATGGCCAATCCTCAGGCGGCATAAGAGAACCTCCAGTCGACGTTCCTTATGGAACAAGCTCTCCAACAGAGCCAAGATGGGTTTAATGACATGACGTTTATTGTTACACTCTACGTCCCACTCCGACTGCCATGCCTTCAAAAGTGATTTCTTCCAAAGTGGCCTTAGGTCCTGATAGGGTAACCCGAGAGATTCAACACGGCAGAGAGTTGGGCGAGTTGGTTAAGCATCTTAATAGGTGGGAACAGCGCAGGAAAAACCGACGAAGGACGAGCAGCGCTGTGTCTGTGCACTTCTTCTACTCGTCCTTCGTCGGTTTTTCCTGCGCTGTTCCCACCTATTAACCCGAGAGATGTTGCCGAGTCCTTTGCACCTGCAGCCAGTTTATCTGCTTTCTCATTCCCTGGAATTCCGACATGACTGGGAACCCAGCAGATTATTATGGTGCTTCCGAGTTCGAGAGCCCGGTTTATTTTAGACCGTATATTTAGTAAGAAGGTTCTTTGTGGGAAGTCTAGAAGAAACAGCCTGTATCACGCTTTGTGAATCGACAAAGAGGATAGCCTTTAATATGTTGTAACTCATGATATGTTCAATGGCTAGGGAGACACCATAAAGCCCTGCAGAAAAAAAAAATGCTTGCCCTACCATCAATTCGCAAAGCTTTCGCGAAGGCACCAGAATATACGGCACAACAAACAAAAGATGAAGATTTCGACCCTTCGGTATAGAATTCAGTATAATCTCTATATGTCTCATGCAATGATTGAAACTCCTGCTGCAGGGCTTGAGGGGAAATAGCCAAATTTATCATACTTTGCGATCTACCAGTCGCAGAAAATCGGCAATACGTCCCACGGAGCAACTTTTTCTTTGTGCTTTAGTATGACATCATCATTCAGTGGAAACTGGAGAAAGGCACAAAGACTTTGAATGCGGAA